TTGCCTTGGAAAAGAGGAGATAACTCTTCCGTGTTGCCCTCTTCCTGCTCATTAGCTTCCCTAACAGAGTGGCTGGTAGGAAGAGAGGCATATGCCCTTGACCTTGGACAGTCCTTGAGAACTCCATCTACACCTGCAGGGTCAGTAAAGCAACCATAGCAACTATAATTGTAACGTTTCTTTTGGGTCTTTGTGTTGCTTAAGAGTTCTTCTCCAGGAAGGAACAAACAAGCAAACAAGCAACCCTCTAATTAGCTTTTCCAAGGTAATGCACAATCCATAAGGACATATTTCAGAACGATGCAAGGCTAAAATTGTTTTTCCTGTTAATGTGAATGAATGATTCTTTTTGAATGGAGAGTTTATTTGGATGTTTTGATATTTTTACTTTCCTCTCTTTGCTTGGGACAGGAGTTTCCTTAAACCTGAAGGGATAAAGGAAGGAGACAGACTCAGTTCCCAGAGAGTGAATCACAGACTCACAGCAGCCAGGGTCTAAGCCAGATGCAGTTCTTCACAGCCAGATGCAGTGAAGTTCTAAGACAGCCTCCACAATTCCTACCCCCTCTTGTATATACTTTAAATAATTCCCTCCCCTTGAGAATGGGTGGGACCAGTGAATATGATTGGATAGAGCTCCCAGATTTGTTTACTCATCCGTTGACTTCAAGTTACGGTGATGTAGCACATCTTATATTTTCCTGGTTAGAGCTGGAACCCATACTACTAAGTGAAGTATCCCAAGAATGGAAAAACAAGCACCAGATATATTCTCCAGCAAACTGGTATTAACTGAGTAGCACCTAAGTGGACACATAGGTACTACAGTAATAGGGTATTGGGCAGGTGGGAGGGGGGCGGGTATATATATATACATAAGGAGTGAGATGTGCACCATCTGGGGGATGGTCATGCTGGAAACTCAGACTTGTGTGGGGGGAGGGCATTTATTGAAACCTTAAAATCTGTTCCCCCATAATATGCCGCAATAAAAACAAAACAAAACAAAACAAAACAAAAGGTAAATTAACTGGGCAGGCCCAACCTAATCAGATGAGTCCTTCAATGGGACAGGGCTCTTCCTGACATAAAGACAGTGGAGGTATGAAGAAGACTCACTGTGCGCTTGCTGGCTTGAAGATGGGTGGTGGCAGAATGTGGCAGGGATACAGGTGGCCTCTGAGAGCTAAAAGCAGCCCTTTATTGCCAGCTAGAAAGGAAACAGGGACTTCAGTCCTACAGTTGCAAAGAAATGACTTCAGCCAACAATCTGAATGAGCTTTGGAAGTGGATCTACCCTCAGAGCCTCCAGAATAGGATGCCCCTGCTGCCGCCATTATTTCAGCCTGGTAAGACCCAGAGCAGAGGACCTGGTCATGCCACGCCTGGTCATGCCACATTCTGTAGGACTCCAGACCTACAGAACTGTGAGCTGATACATGGGCGTTGTTAATAGCTCCTAGATTTGTGGTAATTTGTTATGCAGCAACACAGAACTAATACAGGGGAAATGAGTTATTTTATTTGAATATTACATGAAAGATTAGTCCCAGAAAGCTGAAGAATTTAGGGATGATTCGGGCAAATGATGTGTCTCACTTGGGGATATTGAAACCAGGTCCAGAGAATATAAAACAAAATTCATCTGTAGGTAATTTGGGGAGATAGGTTAGGTTACAGGTGTTAATTTCATCTTTTTGCTTTTCTCTTCCTTTGAAATTGTCTCACTTTTGTAATAAGACAAAACTAAAGAAAACAATTTCCAGGTAAACACAAGGCAGATGTCAGATGGCCACAGGCCTAGTGGTCTCTCTGCAAAATAAGTAGACAACAATTTCTACACTGCCTAATGGATTGAAGGCTTCATTCGCCTCAGGCAAACGTCCGGATATGTGGCCCTGGCCACATGAGTTCACAGATGCTGTTCAGAGAAGATGCCCAGAGCTCTACCACTTCACGACGCTGACTCATGAAACTTAGAGGTGATCAAGCTTATCCTTCTCATAGGTAAAGAAACTTATTCCCAGAGACATTAAATTATTTATCCAAGGCCATACACTTGATTAGTGGTAAAGTTAGGGTAGGAATCCATGTTGTGTAACTTTAAAGCCAGGGCTCTTTCTTCCTTACTCCAAAGATACCTTAGACACCTTCAATTTTAGAGCTAGGAGAAACCTTAGCTCTCATCTAGAGACACTCATTAGTAAGATGAGAAAGTGGGGAACACAAGATTGGGGACATGATCTCACTCGGATCACTCATGGGGTAGTGAAAATTACTGGGTCAGAATTAAAACGTAATTCTTTAACCCAATTGTCTTATATCAACCATTTCAAATGTAGTTTGAATGTACCCATTAGAATGTTGGTGGCATTAAGAAATAACTTTTTTTTTTTTACCTGACACCTGTAACAGGGAGAGGAACGTATTTCTACTTCCTTTGTTCTCTAGCCTGTAAGCATGACACCCCCCATACTTTTGGAGCCTGATTGTCACTCTGTGCTGGCTCTAGGGGGAACATTAGCAGTCTGACATCGGGGCCACATGTTACTAGTAGACAGGTCCTTGCAGGTGGTCTGTGTTCTGGACAGTGCTCTCTCCTGTGGCCACAGAGGTAAGAGAAGCTGACCAGCCCTGGCTGGACCGCTATTGGGCATGTGCAGAGTTGGATCTGCAAAGCCTGCCATTTGCATTAGAGGGTGCAGGGAGTAAAAAGCCCCCCATAGCGTTTAGATTCCCACACAGGCATTTCCTGAGCTTGCCACCAGGGAGTTAGCCTCTCCTCTGTATCCTGAGGATCAAACATTTCTTCTAGTGTGGCTGGAAAGGATTTGCCCAAATATGGTATTTGTTTACGTAGATGCCCCTAAAGCATATGGTGACATGGAAAATACAGCGCATGAGAGGCTTTATGAGATTACAGGCAAGAGTTGGACACTAGAACGGCCTGGAAGAAAAGGAAGAGAACTAATATTTGCTGATATCCACTATGTGCCAAGCATCGTGTTGGGTCCTTCTACATACAAAAAAAATAATATAAATTAAAATTCACTGAGTGTTTACTGTGTCCCATTGGATGCAGTTTGCATCTTGGTTTATTAGAGCCCAAGGACAGAATATTGGAATTATATGGAATGCAAAAAGTGTGCTTGGTGTCAGTAATGACACAGAAAAGAAACGGCACTGCCTCTGGGATATATGCAGATGCAGAGGACCCTCTGTTATCTGGCATGGGCCAGGGATGAAGAGCTCCAGCCAATTATATGCTCTTGTTGAAGGGAGAGAGCCAAGGATCACTTCCAAGTGCTCTCTGGGTTTGCAGTAATTGGTGCCAGTTGAATCAGTGTTGAGAATGATGTGGAAATGGACTTTTTCCTTGCATGGTGAGTGTTGAAGAGTAGAAGTTGGGTCACTGCTTCTCCCTGAAGCAAAATTTAGCTGTTTCTCTTGGAGCAGCTGTAAGACCATCATCTCACCAGTGGAATCAGTGTCTACATGAGAGGGTGTCGCAGTATCTGCAGAATTGTCAGCTATTCCCAAACGAGGCTGATTTCAAAATGCCCTGATGCTGGAGAAGAAATTAGCATATACTAAGGCTGGGGGCATTTCCCCACTTGTGCATTTCTGGGGATACTAGTGAGCATCCGATAAGACTTCCAATTTCATCTTTTTTTTCCCCACCCAGTCCTCCCTCAGCCACACTGAACTTTTCTTATCCACGACGGTAAAGTTAGTGTAGATTTCAGCAAACATTTACAGAATTAAAGTGAACATGCAGAGTGGCAGTGGGCAAGAGATGGTTCGTGGACCAAACCTAGCCTGCCACCTGGTTTTTGTAAATAAAGTTTTATTGGAACACAGTCACAGCCATGCCCATTTGCCTATACCTTGTCTGCGACTGCCCTTGGGCTACAACAACACAGAGTTGAATAGTTGCCATGAGGACAGTGTGACCTACAGTGCTAAACAATACTTTCTGGCCAAACCTGGTCTATATTCTTTCCTTTCAAACCCAGGAAGAGATGTAAGTAAATAGACACTTTAAAATATTAATACCTCCTCTTTGCAAATTGACTAAGGAGTTCATTTAAAAAAAAACAACAAATACCTCCTCTACTTTTGATTTATTTTCATCCTCTATATAACCACATTTAGTCTTTCCACCTATCTTCAAACCCTAGAGTTCCATGCATCACACACTAAAAATGGCTAAGGCTTAAAAAATTTTAAAAATATTTGGAAGAAAATAATTGTGTGTGTCTTGGACCGAAAGTCATTCAAAAATATTTCTAGTTTTAAGATTTCCTTCATTCTGTGCCTAGTTAAATTGCACCAACTTCCAAAGCACAGACCGAATTTCTCTCTTCCAGAAGGCCCATGCATGCCTCCAGCTCTCAAATGTCTTCTTTCTTGGAGGTTATTCCTATAAAGCTTAATGTGTGAGCCATTTATTCAGGGCTCCCTGGTGACATCTCTTATGCTGTCTTATGCCATTACTTAATATATATTAATTTTATTTTTCCAATTAGATGCTAACCCCCTGAGGGTGAGGTCATTAAGTACAAAGCTTGAAGTAAAAATGTTGCAAAATGTAACTCACGTCTTCACAGACTACTTTGTACAAATGGGCTCATATAACATTGAATATCCACATTTCCCTAGTTTTGCTTGAACTACTTACAGAGAACCTCCAGGCTCCCTTAGAATGGATCCTCAGTTTACATCTGGGAATCCCTTAAGGGTTGGCTCATTTGTGCTCATTAGCCAGGCGATTAGCCATGGTCACTGTGTGATGTGCAGTGTGTTCTTTCTGTCCTGCACTGGCAGCTTGTGTTGTTTATCATGCCTCTTGGGCTGGCTGTGGGTATCTCAGTGTGATCATGCCAAGCATGATATCTCCTGTGTTCTCAAGGTTAGATTGTTACTTACAGTCCTTATGGTGCTAGAGCCACATCGTGTGACTATGAATTCATGCACGAGGTGAAAAAAAATCACTCTACCTATTTGCCACTCTGCCGTCTGGGCCATAGAACACCCCGGCTTGGCCGACGTCACTAGAGCTCCTGCAGCTTCTGCTCCTTCCAGGGCCTGGGCAGGAGGCTCTGGGCCGAGTAGCATAAAACCACCGTATTGTGAGGAAGTCCATGCGGTCACCTGGAGGGAAAGCAGTGCCAGTCAGCCCCCCAACATGCACCAGCCGTTTCAGCCCAGGCACCAGGCATGTGAGTAACGTAGTCCTGTTGGACATTCAGTTTCAGCAGATGCCACATGGTGAAGAATCAGTGTCTGGACGTGCAACCCCAGTGAACCATTCCAGCATCTCCAGTCATGTGTTACCCCAGACAGTGTGGACCATGAACATGGATGAGAGGACAAGCTATCCTTCCACGTGTTTTCAAATTCCTGATCCACGGACTCACAAGCATATTAAAATGGTGATTTTCTTATACCACTGAGTCTGGGGATGTTTTGATGTGTAGCAGTAAATAACCGGAACACCTCTGTTTCCTTCTCGAAAAGTTATGCCAATAAACACATGCAGTCAGCCACTCTGCCAAGGAGTCAGACATACCTAGACAAGTCATATTCTCAACACAACCTGGCTTCTTTCAGGGTAGAGCCTCCCCTTCAAGACATGACAGGTATCTGTTGAATGAAGGAGTAAAGGAAGGAATGAAGGAAGGATCTACAGGAGAAAAGGAGGAAGGAAGAAAAGAGGCTCATGGCTTCAACATGGGAAATATAAGATGGAGTTTATGCAGGGTGTATCATTTGGCATAAACTTGCCAAAGTGATTCTCCAATCACTTGCACCAGCTTCACGCCACCGAAGCTTCAAGCATCCTCTGTTTGACTGCAGCATTTGTTAGGTAAATCATAACGAGCGTGTCAGTAGGGTCGCCCTCCCTCTCCTCCTTCTCTGCCCGTTGTCTCCACTCAAGGAAGCAGCCATGGGTGTTCCTTGAGCAGGGATAGCCACCCAACACCTCGGCACCCATGCACAGGCTGTCTTTGCAGGTGGCACCTACTGAGGGAGCCTGCAGTGGTGAGGTCCACCCAGCATGTGCGATGCCCATTATCACGCCGCGCAGTCACGTGACTTCTGGTGCAGGAATGAGGGATGCCGCAGTGGGCAGGAGGTTGTAAGACACTATCAGCAAAGACTTGCAGAAAAGAGCAAAGACATTGTGGCAGAAACCCAATAACTAACAGGAGAGAGGAAGCAAATAAACAGTGCAAGTATCTGGTCCTTCAGCTTTCCTTTTCTCTCCCCAACTACTTCCTGATTCCAACCCAGTTCTTAATAGTAACTCTGTTCTCTTTAGTGGACAGATTCCATCTCCGCTTTTTGCTCCCCCCCGACTTAAAACATCCCAAATAACACAAGTGAAAAGAAGAGCAAGTGGGCTTCCATTCTCACTCTGAAGAGCCTCCACCTCTGAATTCCCTCGAGTGACAAAACATACCACAAAACATGAAACATACACCCTCCCTTCCGCCGGGTGCCAACCATCTTTCAACACATCATCGCGGATCTTGTGCTGATGTTAAGAGTCCTGTAACTTCCCAAAGATGACTGCATCCATCCACACCGTCTTCTGTTGCTATGCAGTGGGCTAAGCAGTGACTCATCGAGAAAAGGAGCCTTCGGCAAGCAGAAAGTTATAGCCCTGGTGATTTTCTCTGTGGTTCCTTAAATTTTTATAAACAGGCTTTCTCCGTCTCAGTTACCATTGGATTTTGATTTAAACATTTTCTTTTCTTCCAGAGGTAATTTTAGGGAATTTATCCCAATTTCTTAGGTTTCTGAGTGGTTTCCACAGGGATAAACTTGCAAATCAACACACTCGTGGGTGTCCCTGGGCCCAACAGTGTGCAAGAGGCAGTTGCACATGATGTTTAAAGTATGTGCACACTCTGGAGGTGGGCTGCTTGTGTTTGATACCTGCTCTAGTTCCTGCGAGTTGTGTGGTCACGGGTGTTGTTTCCTTTCTAAGAATGGGGTGACAATTGTATCTACTTTTTGATGTTGAAAGAATTAAATAAATCAATGTATAAATAAATTAATGTCTCACCTGACTCTAAGTAAGCCTATGATAAAGTGCCAGCTACTATTGCTACCCTTTATAAATCTTTCTGACAGCTTTCAGCCAGCTTGTTTCTTAACTTTATATCAACTTTATTTTATTTTTTGCTTTTGAAGATTTTATTCACAGAAGGGTGCAGAGGTGATGACAGTATAGCTCTACAAAGTTTCACACACCAATCACAGTCACATGACCAGGCCCAGGTTAAAAAAGAGGACATCACCGGTTGCCCAGAAGCACCCCACTCCTGTCCCCTTCTGGTTCCTCCTTCTCAAGGACAACTGCTATTCTGACTTCTAACACCATAGATTATTATATATATCTTCAAATTTTATATGTTCTTTCGCTATGCACTCTTTTGTGTCTAGCTTCATTTGCTCGATATTGTATTTCTATGATTCACTCTTGTTGTTCCATGTACAATGTCCCATTACATATACTACCCCACAGTTTGTCTTTTCTATTGCTGACAAGGATTTGGGTCATTTCCAGTTTGAGGATGCTACGAATAGTGCTATGAGCATTCTGTCCATTTCTCTGGGTGGACGTAGGGATGCAGGACTGTTGACAATGGAGTGGGTGGTTCACACAGTGTGTATATATGTGGTTTTAGTAGACAACACCAAACAATTTCTCAAAGAGATCGTGCCACGGTGTGCTCCCACCGGCAGCGTGTGAGAACTCCAGGTGTTCCTCATTTTTGTTCTCGGTATTTTCTGTCTTTTTCATTTTCGCCATTTTGGTGGGTGCGCTGTTCTGTTTTTGAAAATCATTCTGACAAAGAACAATGGAAAGAACATGGCGACAAATAAAAATCTGCTTTGAGCCCCTAACTCCGAGATTTACATATTCACTTCCTACGTATGTGGTAGAGCAAGTCATTTTACTTCTCTGAACCTGTTTCTTTGTGTTTAGAAATGAAAACACAACCTGTTTGTGTTTTAAAATTTGTACCCCCATGATATGCTGCAATAAAAAAGAAAAAATAAAATAAAATGAGGCTAATCATGTCCCCAGGGAATTAACCGCCCTTGTTTTCAGGAATGCTGTGTGGGCATTTGTGAACTCCTACTCCATCCTGTTTTCAAGTCCATTTTCTCCCCGTATGCTAAAACTTACTCATCTGCTGGGGCTGTCCACCTATAAAGAATAGTAATCATTAGGCCAAGGTAGTAATTTTTGTGGTTAGAAAGTCAGGGCTTAATGGGTCCTGCTGCTTTTCCCAACAGGATTTTTGAATACAAGATTGCAACACAAGGATGTGGTCGGGGGTTTGTTTTTCCTCCTGTTCGCTACATTAAGAAGCAAAAACAGAACCCAGTGATAATTTCAAACTGAGCACTTATTTTAGCATGCCCGAGTCTCTCTCATGGGTTGGCCAATGGTGACATCCCAGCCATGAGAAAGCAAAATTTAACACATGAGGAGAAGGCCACAGAAAGAACTTACCGAGACGATCCTCCAATGGCAGAACCCAGAAAACAAATGGGTCCCGTCATAGACGTTTCCTGTTAGCTCTGCACTGGACCTCAGTTGCTGCCGTTGCTACGCTTCCACCATGACTCCAGACCCATTTAACCGGAGTCTCAGCATCAAAGACTCTTCCATTCACGATACAACCCACGGGCCTTTAACCCCTCCAGATGCAAATTCCTTGTTTTTAGAGCTGGAAGGAGCCTCCAGACATAGTCCCATCTGCTTGTTTTACAAATGATGAAAGCTGATGACGAGAGCAGACAAACGGCTTACCCAAGTTTAAATTTAGTGACAGGCTGTGTCTATTCAGATTCCCTAAGTTTTTTGATCATGGGATTTTCTGCACATTCCATGAGAAACTTTGGAGGTTGGCATGCAGCTGACAGCTAAATCTCTTCTCCTTTCTGACACACAGCAACTCTAAGCACAAAATGAGGGCTTGGTCTGTACTTTCAAGGCCCCGTCTAGCTCTGATAAGCTCCAACAAATGAAATACGAGAAGTGTCGTGTGCAACTTCTACCAATTGTTCCCTTAACGAAGGGGCTATGTCTTGATGCCCCTCCCCTTGGCTTCATTCATCCTACTGCTTGGAATTCGGATGTGCTATCAGACCACCTTTGCCAATGTAAACAAAAACAACAGACTAGGGATGGCAGAGCAACAGTGAGAAGGGTCCTGGATTGCCGAATGACCCCATGGAGCAGAGAAGCCACCCCAGTCTGGACTGCTTGCCTTGGGTACATCTTTATGATTAAGTCATAATTTATTCCAGGCTGCTGATACACACAGGTGAAATAATTTGCACACGTGATCTCATACAATGATTGCTATTTCTTTCTAAGGAAGAGGAATTGAGGGTTGTGCCTGTGACCACACACCTGGTTAGTGGCAGAGTTTGTCCATCATTCCCACTTTTTCTTTTTACATTGTGTCTTCTAGCTTTCAAAGTGTTCTACAATTATGGTCTCAGTGAAGGAGGCCGGAATTGCTATTGTCCTTATCAGCCAAATCGGGATAGGATACTTGATTAAAATCACCCAGTCAATTAGGGATGGATCCGGGATGAAAATCCACATCTCCAAACTCCAAAACTTTGCCTTTTTCACTTGACACCACCCATGTGGCTCTCCTAGAAGAACATTAGTATATGTACCCTGTACTCTGCCAGCTCCTGCTAATATTTTTTAATACTCTAAGCAACTCATTCAGGCTTTGGGCTCAAGGATACTAATGACAATTGCTTTCTTTGAATTAAGGTGTATTTGACAGGAAAAAAAAATTGTTAGCTATGCATAAATGAGGCTATGGTCAATTTCAGTCTCCCGTCCCCCACATAGTATTTCTTTACTAGGTTTATTCATAATTTTTTATCAGTGAAAGAAAGTTTACTTTAAACAGCAGCTCTTTGTGCAAACAAGTGATCTAATTCAGGCACAACCTGGCAGGCTTTGTTTATTGAGGTTTAACAATGTTATATAATTCTTATAATCAATTTGGTGTCCTTGAGACAGCCGGCTTAGCTCCCCAGTGCTAAAGTTTCTGACAAACACTCTTTTTTTCTTGCATATTTTCCAAACTGTAGGTTCTAAT